GTGGTGTGCGAGCGGTTGGGGTGTTTTTTGTTGGTGCGGTGGTGTGCGATGGGTGGTTGGGTGCCGTGCTGTTGACCAGTTGTTGTGTGCGGTGAGTCGGTGGCCAGTTTGTGGGCGGTGATGGTGCAGTGTTTTGTGTGGCATCTGGCGGTAGAGGTGAGTTTTGTGGTGGTGGTGGTTGGGCTTTTTCTTGTGTTGTGGTCAGGATATCTACACGGCTGCACCACCGTGATCTGGTAGGGGACGGTGGTGGCCTGTGTTTTCAGTTGCGGTGGATCATTTTGGTGGGACAGTTTGGTGTAGTGGTGGTGGTGGTGAAAACATCGACAGTGATGTTTGGAAAGGGGATTTTGTGGAGCCTGGATTTGGTGGTGTTGGTGTTGACGACGGTGATTTTGTGTTGGTGGTGGTCACAAATTGTGACCAATAAATTTGTTGGTATGTGACCAATAATAAGAAATTGTGACTAAGAAAGACTCTGTGACTCACAAAAAATTATCAATTGTGATCTGGAAAATTACTTTGTGACCTAAAAATTATTAATTGTGACCAATAAATTGATAAATTGTGACCTAAATAAGTATTGTGACTCGTAAATTTTGGAATCCGTGATCGATAAACAAATTGTGACTTTCAAATTTTTAATTTGTGTCCAATAAACAAATTGTGACCTATGAAAATTTTGAATTATAACCTAAATTTTTTTGAATTGTGACCAAATTGTATATATCTGTGACCGTTATATTTTTATTAATAAGACATATAATTAATTAAGTATTTCATAAATAAATTTAAATAAAAACCTGATTTTTGAAATTTAAAACATCTAACCTTAATTTTGAAATGGTAATAAATAAAAACCTGATTTATATAGACTTCTCTTTATATGCAGTTAATTACATATGTCGGCTCACATGGCAAATTAAATAATTTCCCAACAACACTCACTAAAGGAAATCAATACACAGATTCTTTGATCGGGACACATGAGATCGTTGATGTGAGTAAAGAATTTTTTCAGTTTTTTATTCAACCGCGATAGCTAAATAAAACTTTTTTACCTTTTAAAGATAAACACGGTATTTGAGAAGTACCCTCGCGAGTTCTAAAAAAATTATTATATTATATAAATTTCATAATAGGTAGTTTGAAAGTAGATGAATTTATTTTGTCATAAAGATTTGATAGAATGTTTAACATAATTGCATGTGACAGTAGGTAGATGTAAAAATTGATTCTATTTTAAACTGTCCAATAATAGAATGTCACGTGATATTATGTCAAACTTCATATAGCAGAATTGATTGAAAGTACATAGATTATGACATTCACTTTTTGTTCATCTTTTAAAAAATTTCAATATATGAATTCTACTAAATATTTTTATACTCGCACGTAGGAAGTAGGAATTACTAAGTGCTTGTTTGGTATGGATTTTTGGGAGAAAAATTGATTTTTGAATAGTGATATGATGGGAAATGTGTGGTTGAAAAAGAAGAAAAAAGTATTGATGTGATGGAAAATATTATTTTATTGAAGAATGTGTGGTTGAAAATGAGAATTGATTTAAGAAGAATTGATTTTTGAATAGTGATATGATGGGAAATGTGTGGTTGAAAAAGAAAAAAAATGTATTGATGTGATGGAAAATATTATTTTATTGAAAAATGTGTGATTGAAAATGAGAATCGATTTACTGTAGAATTTGAGAATAAAAAACAAACACCCCCTAAATACACATTCAGCTCTTGTATTAATGACTCTTACGAATTATGATTATGGTACGAAAAAAGTAACTTTATTAGATCTTGTTTGATTCTCACTATTTTTAAAATATATTTTTTTCTTTTTCTTTTCAATCACATATTTTCAATAAAATAATATTACACACAACTAAAAAAAATTCCTTTCATTTTTAATTATACATTCTCTATCAATTTATTATTTCAAAATACATTTTACGGGACTGAGAAGGGCTCTTAATTGAAGATGAACAACATATTACTTCAATAAAATAACATAAAAAAACATATCAAATACTATCAAATCAAAATACAAATGACATAATACACACACTAACACTCACATTGCCACGCTGCACATTCTATCTACGAGATAGATATAGGGTGGTTCTAAATAGTTTGAGAATGATTAATTCATCATTTGACGTAGTTGAAATGATTGATGAGATAATATTCCATTAATTTTATCGAGTTCTTTAATTTTAAAACGTCAAATGACAAGTGACAATGACATATAGAGTCTAATAAGTCCGGTGATAACTCGAAAAGTTCTTGAAATTTAGCCCGTCTTTTGTAGAAATTAAAATTAAAATTAAAGTCATCCCATATATTTTTGAGCGGAAAATACGAGACACGAGATCTATTAACAAAATTTATAAGCAGGTAATATTGTAGATTTTATTTTAAGTCAAAATTAACCCTTAATTTTAGCCCGTATTTTGTAGAAATTAAAATTAAAATTAAAGTCAATAACTCATTTTAATTATATTTTATGGGTTTCATAACTTTTCAACCACACATTTTATCAATTATAATCAAAATATACTAAATATTTAATTTTATTCCTCACCAAACAGGGACTTAGCGATAATTGAAAAATATTTGTGACAATTGAGATGTTAAGCCCTTGTTTGATGGCTTTTTTTGGAAAAATATTTTTTTTAATAGTGAATTTTTTGAAAATATGTGATTAAAAATAAGGAAAAAATTTAATTTTACATTACACGAATGTGTAGTTGAAAATGAATATTTAGAATTTTTTTTTTTTTTTTGAAAATAATAGACAAACAGGGGCTAAATGGTCCAACTTCTCCCCTCACAAACACGCCACATCCATAAGAAGGCCAGCCCACAGGTTGGCAAATTTTGACCGGACAATTTTGCCCCTCACCGGCTGGAACGGTTGTGGGGTCAACTGTTTAAAACAATACCCACAGATGGGGTTTAGCACTGTTTTGTGTTTGGTTGGTTCGTTGGTTTTCCCAAACCCAGAGGTTTTATAACTATAAAAACTCCATTTTTTTTTCTTATTTTTCTTTTAAAATTCTTGTCCCAATCACATTTTTTTTATCTTTTCAAGGAATTGTTCATTTGCGTTACGTAAATTTGTAATTCTTAGAATCTGTACAGAACGAGCAAAGAAAAACTAGCACACGCGTATATAGAATCAAATCATTCAATCGGCAGGTAATAATCCTTTTTTCCCCTTTTCTTTATTGATTGAATTTTGATTCGAGATTTCAATTTTCTGTGTTAGATTTTGGGTTTTAGAATCATTTTCGAAGTGTAGATTTGATCAGCATGTAGAATTATGGAAATCAGGCGACTTTTTCCTCTTAGTTTTGGTGAAATTGAAGTTGATCCTGCAGAGATCTGATCGTCCGTAAAATTCTATAATTTTCATTCGATTGCTTTGGGTTAAATTCAAAATGAAAGTTCTGATTTTGAACAAATTGAACAGTGAATTTGGAATTTGAAGAAACTTCCTTTAAATCTCTACTACGTTTGCATCTCTTATAATTGATGAAACTTTCAGTGATCTGAATTTCAGTTGGAGAGACAGGGTTCATATTACTGGATCTGATGAATTTGAAGTTTTTTTTTTCCCAACAATCTTTTCCTGTTGCCATTCTGTAGAAGTTTTGCTAAACAACGTCCTGCCATGTGCAAGAATTTCACACCGTGAATAATCCAGTCTATTAAGATCTGTTTTGACTTTATTTTCTGGTGAATTATTTGATTATTTTTGAAAGGGCTAATTTTAAAAGGTTTATATTATAAGATCTGTGATCAATTATATGTTAATGACTGCTGTCTTTGATCTTCAAGTGAAATGTAGTTGCTGTCTACCTTTGGCATAATTTGGATGACCTGTTATCTATTTGTTTGGATTAACTTCTATTATTTGATGGGTAAGGAAGTCACAAACTGGTGGTTGTAAAACAGAAAAGAAAAAAAACTGTTCATTTCAAGTTGGGTGCGTTAGAGAGACTGGAAAGGCTATATATCAATTGTATATCATTTTTTAATTTTCTTATTTTCATTCTTTGGTTTTCATAGATTTCACCCTATGAAGTAATCATACTTCACTCTTGATTTCTAGATTTCGGTCTACTGCTGGTCTTAATTCACCGATTATTTCTTATTATCTCTGCAATTTGCATGTTCCCGTTTTTTGTATTCATTGATAAAATGCTTGTGGAATGTTTTTTTATAGATTGTGGGTGATTTCAACCATTACACCGCGGTATTTAACGATCTTATCTTGGCATGCTGCCTGAGTTATGGTGTCAAAGAAGAGGCAGGATTATGGATTCAGTGGCTATCGAGTCCCGGTTATTCCTAGAGCACCTAGATCAGTTAGGGTGAGCACGTGCTTTTGTGTTTAAGCTTATATTTATTCTACTGTCCTCATTATTCGGAATGTAACCAAGCATCTCATCTTTATTTGTCTTCCCAGAGGAGAAGCCCACAAAAAAAATTGGTGGAAGACAGCACAATTTCTGCATTTGAATTACTTGCAGCTGTAGCTGGCAAGTTGTTACAGGAGAGTGAAAGCTCCACTTCAAGTAATGCAGCTGAAGCGAAAGTGCATCCTGGCTTCCGAGATGGTAAAAAGACGAGTCTACCTGAAAATGATAAAGCCCTGAAATTGAAGTACTTTGACCAGGGAAGTTGTGCAGAGAGTGCATTTTTTCCAGAAATTTCTGTTCAAGATCGCAATATTTTATCAATTGTCAAGGAACTTCCACGAGCAGAAAATGATTCTATCTTGGATCGCACTTCTGCACTTGTGAGTTGCGATTTGCCAACAAAAGTTGATTATGATATGAAGTTGGAAATGTGTAAGGACAAAAGTTCTGATGGAACCTTCCCTTGTAAAGTAGATGGAGGCTCCAATGATGTTGGTGATATTTATGATCCTAAGATGGACAATGGACCAGAAAAACAGTTAGTGGATGAAAGAGAGCAGGTAGGTGACTTAACCATGGCTAACAAATCCAGTGTAAAGGATCCAATCAAGGAATGTGTGAATAATAATGTACTGATTAACTCAGAAAGTAGTGTACAGCTGTCCTTGTGTAGGGACCCTATTCCTGGTGCTCTGTTTCAAAAGCGCAGGAATGATGTAAAGTTAGGTATTAGGGATGATGACGAAAATTCTTTTGGGTGCAATAAACCTTGCACCAAGATAAGGCCCTTTAGGCTACAACTGTGCAACGGATACCGTAGAACAAGGAAGATGCTGACATCAAAATACAGGAAAGTAGCTCCAAAAATCAAAGATCGTGAATTTTATAACTACAGTAAGTGGTGTTAAAGTATTTATCTGAGTCTTATAAGCTTGAATTTCTGTATGTTTGTTTCTATATGTGTAACTGATTATCCAATTTCTCCCACCTGATTTTTGTTATCAGGTGAGGGAATGAAGTCCTTTTACCGATACAGGAAAAACATTTACAAAAGAGAAAGATTTCACTGGGTCCCAATTAAGAAAAGGAAATTGTTTGATCACAGCTTTGAAGTTGCATATGATCAAGAGGCGAGCAGCGAAAGTGTCTCTAATTTACCTGAAAAGGAGATGAGGGGAGATAAGAGTAGCTCAGCTTCAATCTTTCACAAAGGTCTTTATCATGTCTGGAATTGGAAGTTCTAGTGTTATGCAGTCTTCCAATATAATTGTTCTTATTTTCTTGCAGAAAGTGGATTATCAGCTTCAGTGAAAGCTCGTCAAAAATCAAAGGACTCTAAGGGTACCAGATTCTTTTTCATATGGATTTATATACACTTGCCTTTTCATCTTTACGTGTATGTTTGGTTCAAAGAAGTTCTAAGACGTGTGTTTTCCCTTCATTCAGTGAAATTTAGCATCAAGTCATTCAGGGTGCCAGAACTTTACATTGAGGTTCCTGAAACTGCTACAGTTGGTTCTCTGAAGGTTTGCATTCTTTCATTGTTATTCATTTCATATAATGTATAAAATCTGAAATTTAGGTTTTTTTCCTGATTTTCTAACATGCATTCTTATCTTTAGATCCATTTTCTGGTGGCTTTACCCGGTACCTGTAATTAGCATGCATTTAGAAATAACCCTAGTTCTTGAATTTCACTTCTTTAATGGAATTTGCAAAGTTAATCCCTTTGATTAATTTTAAGTCAGCTAGTTTCTAACCTTTTTTGCCACAGAGGATGGTCATGGAGGCAGTTACTGCTATTCTTGGAAGTGGACTACAAGTTGGGGTAGTTCTTCAAGGGAAGAAAGTTAGAGATGACAACAGAACTCTTCAGCAGGCTGGTATTTCTCAAAGTAGCAACCTTGATTCACTTGGTTTCGCCTTGGAGCCAAGTTTTGCACATGTTTCCGGACAGAGGACTCCAAAAGATCTTCCTCTGGTATTACGATGTGATGCAGATCTACTATCATCCAGGTACTGTAATGTTTTTTGTTTGGAGTCTAATTCGACCAAGCCAGAAAGAAATCTATGATTTTGATTTTAGAAATCTTTACTTCAATAGATGTGCTTTGCTTAGCTTCCCCAGGAATAACTGTTACTCATCTCGATACTAAATTCAAAACTCCATGACTTGCTTCTCAGTTATTGCACGTTGTTATCGGCATAAGTAATGAAAGAATAGGGACATAAAAACATTTTCATTTCACTCTGAGCTCATTTTTGGATAAGTTAGAAACACAGTTTTCTACAAATGCTAATCTTAGATGGCCCCAAATGATAAAAATAATGAAAACATATAGACATACGATGTCCTACTAATCATGTATCTTATTTTTCAGGTCTACAGCCAGTCAAATTTTTGATTCTGGCGTTTCCAATGCCTCACTTGATCCTCCTCTAGTTATGAAGTTGGACAATGATAACAGCCAGGAATTAATACCCTCCCCAAAGACCCCTATCGATTCATTGAAAGATGGAGCGTTGCCCGACTCCAAGGCCTTGATTCCAGTTCCTCCAATGAATATAGAGACACTTGCAGTGGTTCCTTTTAACTCAAAACGTAAATGTAATGAACTTTCTCAGCGTAGGACTAGGAGACCTTTCTCTGTGACAGAAGTGGAAGCACTGGTTGAAGCAGTAGAAAAACTGGGAACTGGAAGGTAAGAACATCGTGTAGGATCTTGGGAAACCATGAAATAAAAATATTTGTGGTATGGGGGAGAACGTATTATGATTTTTCCCTTATCCATCCCAGGGAATTTGAAATTCTCAATCTTCTTTTACTTTTGCAGGTGGCGCAATGTTAAAATGCGCGCATTTGAGGATGCAGATCATAGAACTTATGTGGACTTGAAGGTATATCCATAATCTACTTTTATCTGGGAATATCATTTAAACAGTATTCGATTTGAGATTGTGCTTATTATGTTTGGGGACCTTTTTTTCACTTGGTATCTTTATTGAGATCTCGTGTCTGATATGATATAAATCTTTTGTCTTTTATAACTGGCGCTTTCTTTTTAACATGATTGAATATCTTTATGTTTGGCTAAGATGTCATCCTATGACAACTCCACATGCCTTAGGCTTTTATAATATTGGTAGAGTGCTAAATATGATTGCATAAGAAACCAATGAACAATCACATGGGATGGATTAGGTTAATACTATTTTACTTGATCCGATTAGCGAATCAATAATCATCACTTTGTGCGTCTAATACGGGTTTTGGTTGTTTATAGGATAAATGGAAGACTCTAGTTCATACTGCAAGCATAGCCCCTCAGCAACGAAGGGGAGAGCCTGTGCCACAGGAGTTGTTGGATAGAGTCCTAGCCGCCCATGGGTATTGGTCGCAGCATCAACCAAAACACGGAAAGCATAAAGACGAACCTCTGCAAATCACCGATTCTCCAATGGAGATGGTAGGAGCTTGAAGAAGGTTTCTGATTGTGAAGATGAAAAATTCATGTAGGAAAATTAATATAACCATGAATTGTACAAATAAAGTATCATGTTTTAAGTTTCATTTAGCATTCTCTCACTGATTTGTTGGCTAGTCTATCACTGTGACTTTAGATTGCCTGGCTTCTGTAAATGATTTGTGGAATAAAGGTTTATTTCTAAGAATAATCAAAGTGTTGACTTTTTCCTAAAAAAAATTTCTTTTCCATGACAGTTGGACTTGACTTTCTTTTTTCCTCTTTTTGAAAAATCGTCATTTTATCTGTTCTAATTGTTGCGGAATTTAATCAGTCGTACGAGTAATTAGTTGCAAAATGAAAATGACTTTAACTTTAATTGCTGTATAAATCAAATCTTTTTCATACCCTTCTATAAAGAAAGTGTTGGAGAGAGTTGGTTGTCTCTATCAAGTGTCAATTTTGTGTGAAATATTGTTAATTGTTGTAAAAATTCTCCTTCTCATCCGGCTTGAAAAATTCATGTAAATTGCATCAATCAAAAGCAAATCATGCCACTAAAGACTTAAATAAAATGGATTCTCGACGAAATTAATAAAATTACACGTATTTCTATTTACATAACATACTCGAAAAGAGTAGAATATAAAAGATCATTCTCATTACTCAATGCACATATTATTCATTTCATGTCATTCTTTTAAAACATTCGCTCTACTTGATCGTCTGAAGATCTCGATCTCGGCTGAAAAATTATAGTACCACTTTCAATATGCATTGTTTTGTAGTTTCATCTCCAACAAAATTCTGTCTAGTCATATCTCAAGTAAAAAATAAGAACAAGAGTAAATGCTATTTAGTTCTAATGATGTTATTATATATAAGCTAATGTGACATTGGGGCATTGTCATATTTTATCTAATAAAATTGAATAAAATTATTTTTTTATTCATTGAACAATGCGATAGATATTTCATTGGTCGAACACATATTGATACTTGTTTATCACAATTGGTATTAAATAGTACTCACTTCATCCTGTAAATATAAGTTTACTTTTATATTCGCATAGATCAAGAAAATGCAATCAGTATAGTTGAAAAAATATAAATTTTACTTATATTTTTTAAAATATACTCTTGACAATAAAAATATCTATAGTTTAGGACAAAACGAAAAAAACCGGTATATCTTCATGGGCCAGAGTGTGTAAGGAGGTAAAGATGAGAACAAAGAAAGAAGAATGCTGCTTCACGTACAGGCAGCAGGTTCACAGGGGACAACCAGACATCACACAAAGATGGGGCCTGAGCAGCACCATTTTTTTTAAAAAAATACATGGGGGCCCCCAAAAGTGAGGGGCCTGTAATAGCCCTGTAAACCATTTTTGTGTAATTTTAGCTTAATTCAAGAAACAAATAGCATGGAAATGATTCACAGGACGATGAGTTTGGCGGTGGGCAGCATGTTGGAAGATCGAAAGACTGCCACTGTCCTTACTTTAATATCAATATCGAGTCTGTCCCTTTCTTACACAGTTACTCACTTTACGTTGAATCAAGAAACCTAACTATATTTTTTTACGTATAACTTGTATATATTTATGGTGTGTTTGAGTCACATTATTTTAAAAACATGTATTTTAGAATAGTAGATTTATGAAAAATACGTGGTTGAAAAAGAATAAAAAGTTATTGATGTGATGAAAAATATTATTTTATTGAAAAATGTGTGATTGAAAATAAGTAGAATAATGAAAATGAAAATTTTAATGTGGCCAGGCTGAGGAGAGAATAAGGCCAGTTTGATTTTTTTAAATTTATTTTATGATTTTTTACATGATCATTTTTAACTATACATTCATATAATAAAATATTCTACACGTTCATCTAAAATTTTTCCATTCTTTTTAATCGTACGTGCTCCCAAAAATACTATTCAAATCTTTTTTTCCCCGTTAATGGGAATCAAACAGAGACTAAATAATTTATAGTTTTTTTTTATAAATAGTTAAAAATTATATTAAATCATATATTTTAATAGATTTACAAGCACTTTATTTGTCACTCAATTCTACACTATATGTGTCATTATCCACAATATATGCATTACTAAAGCAAGAATAATGCTACTTATCTAAACTCTAGATAAATAGTATTATTCTTCACCCTTTTGTACAATATTTAACAATAAAACATTGAAATGATTAGAGTTCATATGAGCTCTTTTATTCCCCTAGATTTATCTCCACTTTTTTACTTTTTTTTTTTCCCCTAAATGTCAGTTCTTAATGGAAAATTACAGCTTAAGCCTTGAAATCTAGGCATTTCAATATGATACTTTCAATTTCGTTGTAGAGTTTGTTTAAGCATACAATTATGTCAAAATGTGTCAATAATATACGCATGCCAACTTTCCTTCTCCTTTCAGGTATATCTGAAAAGGTACACGTTCACTTTTTTTTTATGAACGAGAGACTTTTAGGGTGTACATACTTGTACAGGGGCTTGGATGGTGGTGGCAATAAGAATTATGAACAATGGCTGCCGTGTGTGGGATGGAAAAGATAGTTTTTTTTTTTTTTTTTATGTTGATCTTGATCTTGATGAATTAGTCATGTTATTCATCTTCAAAGTTTTATGGCATTAAATTAATTTTTTTTTCCTAAGATATAGTAAAGATATAAAAGTCATTTATTTTATGTCCAAAATCAAAATTAAATAAGAGTTGTTTTATTACGAAAATAATTTTTTTTAAAGAATTTCTACTTCAGTTTGCACAAACAAGATGCAATGTATGGATATGTATCATGGTTAATCGTTGATATATTACAGTTAATGATTATGATATAAATCAATATTTGCCAGTGATTTAGAATTATCAATATTGAATTGTTGGAATACTGCAGCACCAGTGACGTACCTGTTTTTTGCGAGGTTTGAGGCGAACTTCAAAATTTGGACCCCTAAATCGTAGTAAGCAATTAATTTTTTTATTTATAAGAGTTTTACGGAACTAAATTTTTTAACTTAAAATCAACAACAAAGCAACAAAAGAAACTAAATATTCAAAATATGCGAAAATATTCTAAACTATTACTTCAATACAACTCGTCTTGCAATTTTTGAGGCACAAATTTCAATTAATTTTGTATAATCGAGTTCTTCAACCATTACTTTTTCAATAGATAACATGACTAATCCATTCGATCTTTACTGTGACATAGTTGATCGGATATAAGTTTTATTCAATTTTAACTTAGAGAAGCTTCTTTCTACTGATTCAACTGTAACCGATATGGTGAGCAAAGTTTTGTAAGCAATGCAAGCATTTGGAAAATGACCATTCATTTTCTTCAAATAATGTAGCATATCAATTGTTCTTTTTGTTTCTAAGTAAATAGCACTTCAAGACGATCAATTTCAAACACAAGATATCATCAATAATGTCTGAATGTCCATTATGCTTAAAAAATACTGCTCAAAATTCTCACAAGACTTCAACAAACTATCAACGTGCATATTCTTTAAATTAAACAAAAATTCAAAATTTTTTTTATAATGTTTAAATTGTTCAAAACGAGTTTGAAGTAAAAATCGAGCTTGATCAATTATAAAGAGAAAATAATCAACTATAAAAGATTATTCAGCTGAGCATGTTACCTCTTCACTACAACATTTATCGAATTGCTTCTTTCTTTGAATGTTGCATTTATCTTGGAATACAATTTCAATTCTCATTTCAATAACCATTTGTTTAGCTTCATTCATGGCACTAATAAACTAGATTTTCTTTAATCTCCGAGAAACAAAACAAGTGCTTGTAAAAGTTTAAAAACTTCATCAATATCTATGTTTTCGACTTGAAAAAATTTATTCACAGTATTAATTGCATGCAACAACTTATATCAAATTACCATGCCAAGCAAGATTTCATAGCACGAAAAATTAATTCCTTGATAGCTTATTTTCTACTCTATCCACATATTCATTCCTACAGCTATGATATCGAGTTTAGTCTACGATAATTTGAAATGAAGAGTTTAGTCCACATTAATTTCCCTTTGCAAGTTTTTCTATGAATTTTTAAATATAGTAACCTGATTTTCATCAATCGATTTTCGAACCTTGAATATCTATCTATAAAGCCTTAAGAATAAGAGTTTTACTACACAAACATAATGTTTGACATGGGGGATGACACAACACACACACATGGGGAATGTCGGTATTATTTAATTCAGGTCGGGACCCACATGCAATGTGAGATGTCGGTCAACCCCTATGTCAAATATTATGTTCATTTAGCTTAATTCCAAGAATAAGAGCATCCCTCCCTCTATCTGTCTATTGCTTACAGGCAAAACCAGTAGAATACTTTTTTTAAAAAAAATACATTAATAGTTATGAAAAAACTTAATATCAACCATAAATTGTAAAACTCCATTGACAACATCAAATATGACTAGAGAAATCTTCCATCTAGAATCTTTATCTATTTCACTTACTTAATATTTAAAATTGAATAGTATGGAAATGCATTATCTATCTATTGATGGAATAAGCGATGATCCAACGGTTCTAACTCAAAGAATCATTGGCTTAGCTTAGTTGAATCATCGTGATTTTAGTATGAATTTGAGGTTTTAATCGATTCATAGGGTCTTAACAAGATAATTCCTATCAATTCAATAATAAAGAAAACAAAAAAGCTACATTAGATACAAAAACAAATTAAAGAAAGAAGATTGAACCAACTTGATATTTTGGTATTATCGCCACAAAGAAAAGCTTTCGGATTATTTCTTTTTTATTTTTTCGTACATTCAGATAAGATTTAATATTGCGACAGAGAAGAAGCTGCAAAAATGAGCTGAAATTTCTTGGCTCGTGTTGAAAAGAGATTGAGAATGAGAGTCGAGAGATTTCTTGCGTTGGTTTCGTACTCTAGGTTTTGATTTCTCGGATTGGTCTGGAGGTTTTGATTTTTTGCGTGGGATAAAAAAAAAAAGAAATTAAAAAAATTTTGGGCCCCCTAGAAGGCTGGGCTCGAGGCGGAGGCCTCTTGGGCCTCTCATCAGGTCCGGGCCTATGACACACTACACACCATGGTCATCGATCATTGACGAAATTATTATCATGATCTTATTTTGTTTGTTGCAATTTATCCCGTAAGTAGAGATATCATGTACAAGTAATAAATAGAGTATTGTCCAACATGGATTGATTATTGATTTCACTTTAATTAAAACTAACCATAACAAGAATACAATAATTTAATTTGGTTTTGAAGTTGAGCTTTCCTAACTGACGACAATACACAAATAAATAATAGTGGAGAAATCAATTAAATAAATAGTTAGGAATCTCGATTTCACTAAATAACCCTACTCATGTTCAATTCATATTATGAGTTGTTGAGTTGCTGATTGGTAAATAGTAAGGAGTCTCGAGTATTAGTTAACATATCACTAAATATCAAAATTTCCTCCCTTGATTAATATCATAAAAATGATACATAAAAGTTCAGAACAACCGCATGAATAAGTAAGAGTCTGTTCTATTTATCATTTTCAAATCGTTTTCTGCTTTCAATTTTTCAAAACAATGAAAACGCGTTCTCTTTCCTATTTTCGAAAACTCGTTTTTGAAAATAAGTTAAAAATTTCTAAAGAAAATCCAAAACAACAAATTTGTCGTTTTGGGTGTTTTCAGTTATAATCAAGTCAAAATTTTCAAAACACGTTTTGAGTGTTTTCAAAATAATTTTTCAAAATGTCAAAAAGAACACATTTTCAACAATTTCAAAATAAACACTCAAAACACAAAACTCAAAATATATTCAAAATACAAAACTGAAATACAAAGGGAACAACCCATTCCGTTATGGGAAACACTTAGGGTTTGTTCTCTTTACTATTTTCAAGTCCTTTTTAGTTGTCGATTTTTCAAAACAGTGAAAACGCGTTCTCTTTCCTATTTTCGAAAATTTATTTTTGAAAACAAGTTAAAAATTTACAAAAAAAATCAAAAATGACAAATTTGTTGTTTTGTGTATTTTCAGTTATAATCAAGTCAAAAATTTCAAAACACGTTTTGAGTGTTTTCAAAATGTCAAAAAAACACGTTTTCAACAATTTCAAAATGAATACTCAAAATGAATTCAAAACTCAAAATTGAAATACAAAGAGAACCTCCCCTAAAAGTTTCTCCTTTTAACAACTCCATTAATTTAATCAGAATTCATTTTATCTCCATCAAATCAGTTAATCAGGTGGTGCCTACACTGCAGCATGTAAATGAGTGAGTTTATTATTTATGCAACATTTTCCATTTCTACCCCCATTTGTCCGCTTTTCTTGGCAAAATGGGTTGGAGTGTTGTGGGTAACATGATAAAAAAAATTAAAAAAATAAACATTTTGCCATTCACGTGTCAGAAGGCGGGAATATTGAATACTCAAATTACTGTGTAACGGGCCCAAAAATGCTAAATATAAGGTTAAAATGGGTATCAAACCGACGCACATTCATGAAAAGCGAGATTGAATATTTTAACATGCAATTTCTTGATTCAATCTCTCTATTTGTACAGAAGCAGTGCTGCCGAATTAATAAAGATGCTACTGTTTTTTTTGTCATTGTCCAATAAAAAACTGCCAAGTGTCTTCTATATTAATTCTGACAGCATATTTTCTGTACAAATAGCAGATCTCTTCTTGATTAACATGCTCTGGAACATACATTATTTACGGATCCAAACCGTTAATTCTACTCCAAAACCATACTCGAGGCATACTTACGATTCCAAGACATTCCTCGGAAACTAATAGGGTGCACCGTGCATTAATCCGTCTAAGTGAAAAACCTTTCTTCATTAAACAAATATACTATATTTAGTAGTTATTTCAATTTCATTTAAAATCGACAAAAGTCTAATTTCAATCAATTTTCGACATTTTGCTGAATCATCGGGGATTTGATCTCATATTCATCCTATTTCACAATTTTCTTTGAGTCAATGAGGTGCCTAACTAGACTGGGCCCAATACCAGTCCTTTTCAAGGCCAGAACATATGGGCCCCCACGTAAGCATGTGCAGGAGTCTATTCCACACATATAATTATTTTATTGAATTTAATTACCATAAAGCAAATTATTTTTGTCTCTAGTCAATCTTCACATGGTGTTAAATATTAGGTGCATTGCATCAAACATAAGTGACTTTTTAATGCAATCACTAACCCAACTTTGAATCCCATTTCCCTAATAATTTAGACTTAGTGAGAAATGAATGAATTTAATATTATTTTATTGATTTATATCCCACTCACTTATCTTTAAGGAATTTTGATTGCTTTTTATATAGATTTCGATTTATAGCTACCCAGAGCGAAAATACTATAACAATTTAATAGTCGATGTATTGTATTGTATTGATTTGATTTTGAAATCGAGGCATATCATCTTTGAATATGGTCGCAAAATAAAGATTGTCCATGTGAAAGTCTTTCTACCGTTATAGGTAATGGTCTTACTTTAATAAATAATTAACCGTTCAAAACACTTGTTGGACTACACATGTTGAAAATCTAGGTACGATTGAGGTTTAAAATGATATTAGAAATTATTCATTATTATTGGATGAGTGTAAAGATTGTTCATTGGGGACTTGAGATGCTAAAGAAGGGATGAAAAGGTAGTTTTATAGTTAAAGTATTCGCTCTTTTGTACAAAATTATATGAAAGTCGACGAGGTATGAGCATATGTGGCATTATCGTGGTAAATGAAAGCCATACATATAGCACAATAATGACATGTTTAATATGTTAAGAGTAAATAATAATTAACATAACTAAGAAAGAAAAAAAAAAAAAAAATAGATTTTAGTTTGTTATTCTATACAACTCAATTTAATACTCACTTCATTATACCAATCTTGAATCCTAATCTTCGTTTTTAAGTTTTAATGGAATTGAATTGTTCGTTAAAACACAATTGAGGTGAGATGTCTTCACGTATATGGAACCTAACGTGAATAAAGTAATTTAAATAAACATGTTTTACCATAATCCCCTCAGCCCTCTTATCTAGAGCCACTTGCCCACTCAAGTGCGTAGCTCAATTCGAGATTAAGAAAGTTGACCGATTTCTATCCATTTGAAGTGATTATTTTTCAAACTCTACTAATATTGATAGTTCAGTATAGTTCTATTAACACATATGAAGTGGATAAAATTATAATCGAGCAAGTTTTGGTCTCCACAAATGGCATAGTAATGTGTGCACTATTTCAAAGAAAGTCATTTTTTTTTTTTTTTTTTTTTTTTTTTTTTTTTTTTCTTNCTAGTCAATTAATTGAAAAATCCAATCATTCAAATTAAACAAATATTTAAATGTCAATATCCAGAATTTAATATAAAAAATATATTTGTTCACTTTTTGTATTATATTTTGAAAAAGAGTTCTTACCTGTAATTAGCGTTGCACGAACTGTATTGTACAAAAATTAAGATTAGATGTACAATATTTTTTTTATGACATTGTTAACGATATCCCACCTGACAAAATGTTGGGTAAAAAGATAAATTATTTTTTAAACCGTCGTTTTACACCAAACGTGATTCATATAGGATATGTAGAATTTGAAGGGAACAAAATGTGCTGACACGATTCACATTGCACTGGTATTCGCATGAAAGGTAATTTAGCAAAATGAAATCAGGATTGAATGAATGAAGATCTGGTAATGGTGGTGGTGGTGGTGGTGGTGGGTCGTTGGTGAGTGGGTGGGCGGATCAAAATATAGGAAAAGAACAAAAATGTTAAGACAACGTTATTATCCCAAAAAAAAATATTGTCTTTTTGTGCTCTTCCATTAATATTTAATCGAAAGCAAAACAGGAATAATTACCAGTTGACAATGAGTCAGCAAAATTCATGCCACAGTGTTTAGGATAAAACATTTGAAGGCTCAGATTTCACAAATCCACTTTTTGTTTTTTGTTTTAATCCTCAAACCCGCGCTTTCTACTGATCTAATGCTGTGAAAAGGTCAAAACAGGCAGACCCATATTCAACTCTTCTTCAATGTAACACCCCTTTCTCTCTTCCTTATCTATTCCCTTTTCCAGGTAATTCTATGCTCCAGACAGATTTTTGCCATGTTGCACTTGCTCTTTCTTTCAAGTACTATACGTATAATTTCTTTATGCAGGATGCAGGAATCTGAGGTTTGAATTTTTTTTCTTTTTTTATTTTTCAGTGGGGATTCTTGAGATTTGAAGGTTTTAACTTTCTGGTCAGTTTGATTTTTTTCCTAAGTTGTAGTGTTGAAGCAATTTATCTGTTGCTATACTGACTTTGTTTGTTGAATTAAAATTTATTTTTAACGGTTTATGTGTTTTCTTTTAACTGATCCAATTTTGTTTTTGTTTTATTCTATCTACTGTGGTTGTTTCAGGATCTCAGTTTCTGGGTTTTGAATTTCGATGTATAGAAGCCTATAAAGTCTAGCTCTGTATTACTGGGAGTAAAGTTAAAGAGGAGATTGAAGGATGATCTTGATTTGAAATTGCAAGATTTTGGGATTTGGATATAGAGATTTATCTATATTGAATAGATGGTCATGGATCGGAATTTCGGGAGTTATAATGGGACGGCAGCTGGAATCAAATATGATAACCAAGCTGTTTCAGTTTTTCCAGATCCAAATCTGATTAACAATTTGAGAGTTAGCAGTAGTTTCTCAGATGGTAATTACGCTGATGTTACCCCGTTTTCTAGTCATCTGAATTCTAGTACTTTAGTCCAATCATCTGATGCCGATAACCTTGAGGATTATGATTTTAATGATGTGGTGCTTAAGTACATAAACCATATCCTTATGGAAGAGGATGTGGAAGAGAAAGCTTGCATGTTTCAAGAGTCAGCAGCTCTTCAAGCTGCGGAGAAATCATTCTATGAGGTTCTTGGGGGGCATTATCCTGCATCTACAAATTATTATCTGCGAGTGCCAAATTTGGATCGGAGTGATGAAAATTCGGATGAAAACTTTTCAGGAGATTATATAAATTATTATGCTACTGATAATGCTGATTTATGCCCGGACTGGAATACTGATCCTTATTGCACTGGATTAGATGAACAGCACGTTTCTGTTGGCGTTGCTTCACAATTGACTTCTCAGTCATCTTGTAGCCCATCAAGTAGCACCAGTACCTTCACTGATGGTCCGGCGGATTCTCCTGTTAGTACACTTAAAATTCCAAATATATTTAATGATAGCCAGTCGGTTATGCAATTTAAGAAAGGGGTTGAGGAAGCTTCTAAGTTTCTTCCTAATGGCAATAGTTTGGTAGTTGATTTGAGGCACAATGACTTATTGGGGAAAGAGCAGAAAAAAGGGACAAATAGTATGTCAGTTAAGGTGGAAAAGAAATATGACAATGAGGACTCTGCTGATGTTTCAAGGGGTAAGAAGAATCCATATCAAGAGACTACGAGCATGCACGAGGAGAGGAGTCACAAGCAGACAGCTGTTTATACGGAATCGACGGCAAGTCCGGAGATGTTTGATATGGTGCTTCTATGCAGTGGAGGAAGAAATGAATCTGCACTTCGGAAAGCATTGCAGAATGAAGCAACCAAAAATGCTCCGCAAAATAGTCAACCTAAGGGGTCTAATGGTGGAAAAAGTCGTGGCAAGAAACCGGGAGGCAGAAGGAATGAGGTTGATTTGAGAACCCTTTTGACCCTTTGTGCACAAGCTGTTGCGACTGATGACCGAAGGTCTGCTAATGAGTTTCTGAAGCAGATCAGACAACATTCGACTCCTATGGGAGACGGGATGCAAAGGCTTGCCCACTGGTTTGCTGATGGTCTTGAGGCACGTATGGCTGGATCCGGAACTCAGATCTACAAAGCCCTTATTAATATGCCTACATCGGCTGCTGACATCTTGAAAGCCTACCATATATATCTTGCTACATGTCCATTTAGGAAGATCTCTAACTTCTTTGCAAACAAAACCATTATGAATGCGGCTAAAAATGCTACAAGGCTTCACATTATTGATTTTGGTATTCTATATGGTTTTCAGTGGCCTTGCTTTCTACAACGTCTCTCGTCTAGGACTGGTGGTCCCCCCAAGCTTCGTATTACTGGGATTGATCTTCCATGTCCAGGGTTTCGACCATCAGAAAGGGTTGAAGAGACAGGAAGACGCTTGGCTAGTTATGCTGAGACTTTTAACGTTCCATTTGAGTTCAATGCTATAGCTCAGAAGTGGGAAACTATTAAGATTGAGGATCTTAAGGTCAACAAAGATGAGGTAGTTGTGGTGAATTGCCTTTATAGGTTTAGGAATCTGCTTGATGAAACTGTAGTAGTAAACAGTCCAAGAAATATTGTTCTGAACCTTATCAGGAAAATTAGTCCAGATGTTTTTGTACTGGGGATAGTAAATGGTGCTTATAATGCTCCCTTCTTTATTACAAGATTCCGTGAGGCTCTATTCCATTATTCATCCTTTTTTGACATGCTTGAGGCTAATATTCCTCGTGAAATTCATGAGAGGATGCTGCTTGAGAAAACCATATTTGGACAGGAAGCCATGAATGTCATTGCATGTGAAGCTGCCGAAAGGATTGAGAGACCAGAGACATACAAGCAGTGGCAGGTTCGAAATATTAGGGCCAGATTCGAACAGCTTCCCCTGAATGAGGAGATAATGAGGATGGCAAAAAACCGGGTTACATCATCCTACCACAAGGATTTTGTGATTGATGAAGATGGCCGCTGGATGTTGCAAGGGTGGAAGGGCCGTATCTTATTTGCACTTTCTTCTTGGAGGCCAGTTTATTGAATTTGCCAGGTACAACTTACAGGAAGGCAAGATAAGTGGTTGCTGCACATGCTGCCGATATCAATGTGTCTTTACTGTATGTAGCTGCCAAGGTATTGGTCCATTCTCTAGACTGGTTGTTTTTGCCAATAAGTTAGGTTCATAATAGTAGTCACAGAATATTAAATTGTGTTTAATACAATTACAGTATGAAGTTAATTTTTCTTAAGGATGGTCCTTTGGCAATTTTAATGAAAGCAGGTTTATGGATAATCTCTATTGCACTCGGGCCTGCAAATATGGGTACTGGTGATCAACAATCTTGTGGATTAAGGACTTGTGATCGAAGCAGCTAATTTCTTCCATGATCCTTGTACCACCAAACATGCTCGTGTACACTTGAGAATTATTGAAGCTGTGTAAAGAAAGGAAACATTTCTTAGCTGTATGTCAACGCTCACGAGCATTATTGAAGCTGTGTAAAGAAAGGAAACATTTCTTAGCTGTATGTCAACGCTCTAGTTGGTACTTGTTTTCAGTCAATCATAACTCTCTAGTATGTAAAAAGAATAATGCTGCTCTATCAGGCCTGTAAAAAAGGCTATGCAAAATACTGTTCTGAAAGGACTACGTTATCTAGTAATTATATTTAAATAATCCTATTTAAGAAAATAATAGAAGGGTGCTATTTAGCTTTATTTTCCTGGAAAAGAGTTTGCTGTGTAGATGACAAGAAGTGAAATTATGTGTGGTTGTGTGGAATTCACAGACTTTTGTGCCTTTGATTTAGGCTGATGTCGTTGTTGACTCTCAAAATCAGCTCCTGATGAGTTTAAATTTGTTTGTTATCATATCTGTTTCATCTCGTCATATGGTGTGAAAATTCGAAGCTAATCAAGCATGTCACTTTGTCGGGATAACATAGCAGTTCCGACTTGAAATTCTAGTTTTAAATCAGTAACATGGTCTATATCAGCTAATCTTGTAATCTTGCAGGATGTTAACGCTGGTATTGAAATTTCGTGTGATATATTAGTAGAGTATGGTTTGCACCTTTTACGTTAACAGTTAATGCTCTGATAGAATCACGTTCATGAAATTATTACAAGATTAAGCAAGAACTACCTGTAATGTCCGGTGGCTTCTAGTTACTTCTCGACCTAGTCTATTCAGTGTAAACAGCTGTCTACTTGTTACTCTACCTGTAAGGCCCGGTGGCTTCTAGTTACTTCTCGACCTAGTCTATTAAGTGTAAACAGCTGTCTACTTGTCACTCCTCGTACCATACTTTCTTGATACCATTTTTTCTTACCCCTGGACACATCGGGAGAGTCCTCCCTTCTGTTCTTTCCCCCATAACTTCTCGTACCTCAAACAACAATCAAACTATTGCCATTAGGAAGAAACAATTGGTTCCCTCACCTTGTTTCTTAAATTGCATAACGGGTTGGCCTTCTTTAAGTGTCCTCACAGGTGAATCCACCAGACCACAAGTGAAGGCTGGTGAAACATGTTTATTTGATGGACTAAAATGAGATCACTGAGAAGTCGAAGGTGAAAAAACACCGACACAAACATAGAATTTATCGCTGTTAGGATCAGAATTTCTGAAACATGCACACTTTTTCTTCCTTGTGCTGTTGAGCACAATAATGTGCACGTTTCAGATGCAGCATCAGAGGGCTGCACGGTGTAATAAGCGAAGCTGCAATATATAATATAAAATCCTATGCAAATTTAACGGGTTCAATGCCAAATCTATGTTTGCAAGACTTATTTATTTACAACAAGATATCATCTCATCAGTCATCATAGGGGTACGTTACTATTATGGCTCAATAATCTTTTCCTTGTTATTTCAAGGTATCAAAATAAAATAAACTTGTAATATATTGTTTGTGTTTGACGCTTTTTCTGATATAAATACTGCACAATTTGAAAGAGATTTGAATTTACAATTCCCGAACAAACAGAAAGAAATCACACTTGGTTTTCACCCTGGACAGTTGCACTTGGGGAGTATTTATGTATATGTATTCACATTTACATGATAATTCGAAGCACCTTTCACCGAATTTGAGTTCTGCCTAAAGACCACAGCCCAGTATCCTTCACCGATGCCTGAAATTCCATATAAATATGTCATTACGCAAATTAAGCTAGTCGGTAAGACAGTTATTGGAAGTTGTTTTCCATGTGAACTCACACTCACCGGCGTCTTCACAGACGGAAATACATTCCAAAACCTCAGTGTCTCGTCCCCTGCTCCGGTAACTATAGTCTGCCCATCAGGAGACATTGCAAGGTAGAGTACTCGCAAACTATGTCCAGTTAGAGTTGCAACCTGTTCAAGTCCAAATCAAGGAAGGGTTATAACTTCACTCTAAATTTCTCAATTTACATTTTGATTTTTACTGTTAATCCTTCTTTCGTGGTGGGGAGTTCGATTAAAAGAAAAAGATTCAAGTAGTGGTCACCTTTGCCAATGATGGATACTTCCACACCATAATTTGATTCTGGGAATATCCATGAGTGCTAACCAACTCATTTACATTTTTACTCCATGCTAGATTGCAAACCTACAAAGTAAATACTGGATTGTATTAGTTACCTCAAACTTCTTGAAACAACTTGTACTATAAGAAACATGATTTGGATTTAAAATCTTCACTGTTTGGAAAAATAATAGAAACCTGGCTTCCAGTATCGACGCTATTTATTTGATTGCCACTAGTTGTGTTCCAAAAGCGAATGCACCGATCAGCAGTTCCTCCTCCAGATGCAAGAAGACCACTTTGGTGAGGCGACCAGGCAATGGCCTTCACAGCAGCTGTATGCTCGGTCAGTTTCAAAATGGGTTGCTGGGAGTGCTGATTCCACACCAATAGCTGAATCCCAAAAGATGAAAATGCAAAGAATTTAGCATTCTTTTGCTTTAAAATTTGATAGTATGCACACAAGAAATGTTCAGATTCTTATGCAGATATCTATATACCTGATTGTCATTGCCACCAGATGCGAGTTCCCGGTCATCATGAGACCATTTCAGCCCACATACCTGAGGGATATCAAAATTAAAGTTAACCTTGAATCATAAAGAATGAAGTTTAATCCTAAGTGGATTCATTTTTGGTTCTTACCTCAGACTTGTGCCCAACAAGCTTGCTAATATAATCACTTGGAACACGAAGATCGTGTTGAAGGATGTTTCGATCCCTACTTCCAGAGGATAATATGCGCGAAGACCATGCTAGTACTCCGGTTCTTGTTTGATGACCTCCCATGGTTCTAACGCGCTTGCACTGAGTCCCATCCCAAACCTAAACAGCGAAACCATCACGATATGCCTATTTGCAGCAATATTTAGCCCATATTCGATTCTGATAAAGAAGACCGAGATTACTACCTGAACTTGACCGAGACTTGTGCCAATCGATATATATGATCCCTCTCTTGTCCATTGGACTGAGCAGACACCGTCGTTAGGTCCCAAATCACACAACCTTGTCACCTATGAATAAATGACATCTAGGTTAAACTGATTATTTCGTTTTTTAATGTTTAAAACATAATCATGGGTTCGTTGCAATGTTATTCCCAGCGAGCCAACAGATAGTAAACAATCAAAACTGGGTTTGACAAAAGTATGATCAGCGGGAACTCACTTTACTATTTGAAGCACTCCATAGATATACACAAGTTCCCAATCCAACAGCAAGGACATTCTGAGAAGACCAGTCCACTAGGTTCAGGTAGAAGTCATCTTGAAGGGCTGGTGCATCTAGAACCTGAAATTTGAGAAAATTCGCCTATGATCAACTTCATATATACAGCCAAAGAATGATTGTCTCTCTGGTATGCAGCAGAAAGAGCTTAGTGAGTATTCCAGATTTCTGTGCTTTGTGCTTATCCCTGTAAAGAAACTCCTTCTTCTCTCACCTATGAACCTAGTTTTTGATTGCTAACAATAATGTACGAATCAAAGACGAGCATTATTCAGTATTCGAGTTTTCACATTCGGGAACATTTAGAGAGACTAAATCGTTTTGCTCAATTCAGCTCAGTAATGGTATTTAGCCCAAATTTAAGATGATATTCCCCATTTTACCTCGACCACCTGGAAGATCACAAATAAATTCACTGATAGGAAAGAAGTCTTAACCTTCTAAGAGGAAAAGAAACTGGAAATTCAACTATAAATAAGCTTCAAATTAGATCCCATGCAATTATTTAGTACTTGAAATGAGAAACATTTTATGATAACACAGACAGGAAAGAAGTCTTGGCCTTCTAAGAGGAATAGAAACCTGAAAATTCAACAATAAATGAGCTTCAAATCTTAGATCCCACGCAATTATTTAGTACTTGAAAATTTGAAATGAATAAAACATTTTATGATGATAATGAACTCAGTTTGTCAGTTGTAGCAATTAAAGAATCCTATAATAGTACATTAACGTCATAGGAGCCAGAATCACACCTTGTGGGGAGTCTTGGGAACCTTCCTAGGTGGCTTGGGAGGCGTTGAGACCTCACCGGAGATCCCACTGTCGTGTCCCAGAATCGAAGGCGAGTACGGAGAATTAGGCCCCGGAGAATGCTCAGTCTTGAACCTCAGCATATTCCTGCTCGTACTCATTGGAGACCCTCCTTTCACATTACCTGCAGAAAAATCAGAAAATCCAAAATCAGTCCCAAAAAGCTCACTTCTCAACAACCTTGTATAGGCCTCGTTTCCCCCTCCTCCTCCCTCCTTCACCGGCGATGCCTTCTCGATTAGCCCAAAAGTGTGTAGCCTCGACGAAGATCTGCACGGAATGAACCTGTCACTGCATGCAGCCACAGATTTCGACGGTGATGAAGACGACGACAAGTTTGATATAGTCCTTGGCGACATCGACTTCAAAGGGGACGACAAATTGAAAGATGATGGTCCCCTCTTCGGAGAAGAAGAGAAGTTATCGAGGCGTAAAGAGGTCTCAGACATTGAGGCTGGCAGATTAATGCCACTCTTTCTTCTTTGCGATGTATCCATTTTTTGCTTTTTGCTGAGCTTTGAAACAATTCCGAGTTCAGATTGAGCAGGATTTGAGTGTTAAGTGATAAAGGGTATCTAGAAACGCCTCTCTGGAGAAGAAGAGAGAGCTTTTCTAGGGTAGTCTAATTTGGTAATGAAGAAGGGTAGAGGAGCTAACGGTCAGTTTTACTGGATGCTCTCTTGTGTGGGAAGAGAAAAGGGTTTAGGAGTTTGAATAAATTGGTCATATAAGATTTACTTTGTAACGGTCACTTGTGAGGGTAGGGTGCCTCTTAACTAGCCGTTAGATTTGAATGCTGTTCATTCGAATTGGAATGTCTTAAAATTGGCTCGTCTTCTAAATTTAATTATCAATTATAAAGCAAATCCATTCTATCATTATTTACCTAGCGCTTATTTGGGAGCGCTTTTTAAACCAAAAAAATGACTTTTTGAACAGTTAGAAAGAAATAAGACAGCCATTATTGACTTTTGGTCTCACAGGTGGGACCCACCAGTTAAAAAAACTGTCATTTTTTAACTTAAAAGCTGCTGAAAATTTCTACCAGACAAGACCCTAATTAGGTTTTGTCAAGATTTCAAGAAAATTAGAAGCGAAAGAAACTCGACCAACTTGCCTAGTTTGCATCGATAAATTATCAGTCGAGACCTAGTGTCTCCGTATTGTATGCAAACAATATAGATAGCGCTTTGGATTGACTTCTTTTCATTCATTCTTCCCTTTCAATCAATCTCCTTTAAATTGGGATTGGAGGATATTGGTACTATATATTCTTTTTTTTTACTTTTGTCTAGATTGAATTCTTTAATGGCCCATTTTTTCACATTAATGGATTATGTTCATTCAAGTTAATTTATATAAACCTATTTAAAAAATGATAGATAAAAAGGAAATGTATAATAAAAAACTTAATCTTGATTGGTAATTCTGCGTGTATCATTATTTTTCTTTCTCCCTTTTTCCTTTTTATTCTTTTTTGGAGTTTATAACAAAAGCCCATGAGTCAAAATTCTCCATTATTTCTTATTACTACTTATTATTTATTTTTATTGACATAGTACTGTCTAACCCGACAAAAGTATAGGAAGGCCGAAAAAGGGCAAATGATTTACGAGTATAATCGGAGAAGAATAAGTGACGTCTGTCTAGAAAAATAACTCTAAACCCTCAAGCACAGCTGAACTGAAAGGCATTATACAGACTGATAGTGATTACAAATTCATTCCCTTTCACACTTCCAAAATTGTCCAAAATTCCAATGTTTATTAAAAGGTATAATTTTGAATATATATATATATAATGAACTTCAAGATCAGTTCAAGGATAGCTAGTTTTCATTTTCTCTCAACACTTAGGTCATTTTGTATTTCTCCTTCATTGAGCCAATCATAACATTGGAGATCATCTTGGTACAAAAATGGCGAATCCAGTAAATCTTTATTTATTTATTTTGTGGGGTGAGATTGGGGGTGGGGATAAAAATAAAAGATATAATTTGCTCCAGATTGAAATACCCCATTTTTCTCAAAGCTCATTTTTAACCACACATTTTATAAAATCCACAACTTTAATCAACATTTTAACCACATTTCCCCAACTTTATCAAAATTTACTAAAAAGTTGCCAAACAGGGGCAAAACCCTTTCCAGTTTGAAGAACTAAACATTGATAACAATACTGGACCATAAAAGAGGAAAGGTAATGTTGTCTTGCAATGTTATCTAGTTCTTCGTACCAATCATGTCTCAAATAGTTAGTGTTGATTGTGTGTGTTTGTTAAAATTCAAAGCTCTGCACAGGGCAGCCAAATAAGAGCATTTGAATTGAAAACTGAGACTGGATCAACGACTACATGATTCTTCGACCTTCTTTATTCGAAGCATTCCATGATTTCTAGGATGACATGGTATAAAACACAATGAGGACAAAGCTAGATCGTCCAGTGCAAAGAAAACATCAGCAATGGCCTACTTAAAATTAATGGCATGTAAAAGCCGCATTGCACATCTGGGTAAAAACCCGTTAAATATACATTGCCATTATATGCTAGTACAGAACTTCATTTCAGGGGAAACAATGTTAGATTGTGTACCTAATTTGGTACTTCTTAAGCCAATCTTCACCCTTTTCGTAATAATCCATCTTACTAAATGTTTGCTGATGGAATTGCATTGCAGCAGCATAAGCAGCAGCTCCACGCCAAGCATCGAAAATTGGGTTTGACGCTTTGATAATTCTTATAGGTGTACCACTTGGTCTGATCATACGAATTCCAGCTTCCAAGCGCTCGCTCATGCCTGGAAAGAGACAGCTTCCCCCGGTGAGGAGAATTGAATTGGTTATTCTTTCCTCTGAGCATTGTCCCTTATCAAGCAACCCCTGTATTGAGTTGCCAGCCATCTCGTCCAACCCTAACTGCTCAACCCCAATCCAATTGGGATGAAACAGAATTTCAGGGCAACGAAATCTTTCTACACCAAGTACAATTTGGAAATCTTCCTTGGTTAGAGGGCGAAAATGTGGTGCCTCTGCAGTAGAAGACCCTGATTCTGCCTTGAAAATAAATGTTGGATCGATTTCCTAGAGAAGTTCACATGTAAGGTGTCCGTACACAGGAAATGAAAACAAATAGTAAATTGAAAACCCAGATATCAATTACTCACCCGTAGTCGAGAAGTAACACGGACCAGCTCTGCTTCGTCCAGATCTGGCTGGTCATCATCATCGTCGTCATCATTATCCCGGCTCATTAGCTTGTAAAGCTGCCAATCTTCATCTTTCATGCCAAAAGTATCCTCCCCCTTCCCCCTGTCAAATGCTGCAGTAGTCAAGAGGCGCATCCTCTCTCTCTGGGAAGAATTCAATCTCTCGCCACGGCCAACACCTCCAGATGAATTATGATTTCCATTTGTCTTTAATCTCTTCCGCTGATCAACCTTCTCAGAAAGATCTCTGTGTTTCGCACGCAACTCATCCAAGTACTGCTCAGGGTTCTCTCTATGTTCAAGAAAAACACAAGGCAACAAAAAGAGGAGAGATAAAGTAGCAGTTAAGTATAAAATCATTTATAATAATAATATCACATCAAGTGAGAATCATTTTTTGGACGATTTTAACTCTATTATAATTCAATTATTTCAATAATACCTTACTTGTCGTTTTTTAATATGTAATAAATACTACAAAATTTGTGTCATGTATGAATTTCGTGTTATTAATTCTCAATTAATTAACATTCACATTAATCTACACTCAATGAATCTTGATCTACAATAATCTAGAGTTACTATAGATGAATTCATTTCTATTCATGTATATAGAAATTTTAATGGATGTTTAAATTCATGCATTAGCAATTAATTCTTATGTACCAAAAGTAGTATAAAAAGATTGCTCATTTGTAGTATTTCATCATCACAAAAAATTTGAATCATAAAAGTTGAGTTTTGAGATTACAATTTTCTTCTCTTAAATTTCCATCCTAAATTTTATTTTCTTAATTTTTTTTGAGACACATCAACTCTTCCCAACAAAATTGGTATCAAATATTACTTTTACAACATTTATAAAGTATTTCAGAATAATGTGCAATACATGTTCAACTCTAACTAGTACTAGTAAAACGCGTGATTAGTGCAACAAGGTAAAAACATACATCAACTAAATAATTCTCTTCCTCATTCACCTCACTTCTGAAGACAATTAAATAGTTACTCAAACGTCCAAAAGTTTGAGTTCAGCAACATACCGTCTTTTTTCTTCTTCTAATTGCTTTTGTCTTTCTCTTTCTAATTCTTCTTCGATCTGTTTCTGTTTTCTCTGCTGCCGTGCTTCAGATGTGGATTTGATAAACAACTGCTTCCTCTTTTGCTTAAGCTGTAAAGTACAGGAATTAAAGATTATGCACTATCAGTTCCAACGCTATCAAACTAAGGTGAATTGAACAAGATTGCACTAAAAAGTTACAATGTCAAATCCGACAACCATGTTTTTTAAAATACAAATGCTATCACAAGAATCCAGTTTGAGAGAAATGCAGCAAAGTTGTTTGGACCAAATTCATCAGAAATTCAGAATGAAGGTAAGTTTGTGATGAAACCATGAGCATGCAAATTAAATTTAAAACAGCACAAAACTGAAGCAAATTTAAGATAGTAACCTACAGACAAACGTACCTGCTCCTGTGTGAGCGCCTCATCAGGGACATTAATTAGGTTGTATTTTTCAGCGGCAGAAGGATCTGTCTTCTCAATACTTTCAACAGGTTCACCCTTCGCTTTTCGTAAAGATTGTGTCGCCTTGGAAATGGCAGATTCTACTTCCAGTTTCGAGGTATATCTAGTCTTTGCAAGGATTGATGGAACTTCGTCCTCTTCAACATGCCTGAGCCTCTGTAGAAGGATCTCCAAATCTCGTATTTCATTTTCAAGATCATTTATTCTATTGAACCTCTTAGCTTCAGCCATTTCCCGAAGTCTCTGACCTTGCTTCTCTTTAAAAGCTGCCTTTCTAGCAATTTCTTCTTCAGATGGGGCAGCCTCATCAGTGGAGGAGGGAGTCCAAGGAAGTTGCCAACGCCTGGTCTTTTCCTCAGCTTCCTTACCCCCTTTCTGCCACAATTCTTGATATGTTAATTTTGACAGGAAAACATAAAGAGGCAGGAGGTCGGGGAAAGAGATGTTAACCTGAAACAATTGAACTTCTGACTCATAATCTGTTGCAATATAACAGTGTTCCATCTTCAAGTCTTCCACCTTCTCCCATGTAAACTTAGACCTAATTCAACATTTAAATGCAAGTCAGATTGCAACAGAAAATTATATTTCCGAATATGAAACAAAGATTATCAATTCTTACATATGATGCGGGTATTTAAGCGAAAGAAGCTGCTTCAAATAATCAGTAATATGATATCCACCAACATTAGTACGGTTGCATGCATCATACACGGGTTCTCCATTGATAAACTGAAATTGGACCAAATAAAAACCATCACTTTCACTCTCAAAAATAGTTGAAATCTCAAAAAAAGTAATTTCATGACCGAGTAGTTATTAAATATTGAACAAGATGAAACTGGGTATACGAAAATTTAATGGTAATCATGTCTGATTGATTTTAGTATGTATGTATTCTGCTGTATGAAAATCAATACACAATCATATTTGCCAATCAGGACAGACCAAAAAACCCAAACCATTAACGATGACAAACAATATTTCTGCAATACCATGTATAAATTCACATGTATTTCTGCTTCAGAATTAGGGACGGCAAAAAAACCCGACAAACCGAATACCCGCGGGGCCCCCCGCCCCAAACGGGGCGGGGATAACCCGCTTAATCGGGTATTCGGGATGGGGACGGGAATTTGTTCCCCAGGGCGGGTTCGGTTCGGGACGGGGACGGGCTCCCCGCCCAGTTAAATTTTTTTTTTTAATTTTTAGAATTCAATACTTTAAATAAAAATTTTCATTAGTTCTAATAGAAAATAGCAACTAAAATTATTTGTCTAAATCTAATGAATCTGGGCAATAAAAATAAATTATCAAATACAAAAAAAAAAAAAAATTTAAACGGGTAATAAACAGGTAACGGGGCGGG